TTGCTGTACCCAGGTGGGTGGGTGGGCCTTTGGGGGAGGGAAGAGGGTGATGCACACGGCGTTGATGGGTCCTTTTTGGTGGTGGCACATGTGATTTTGGCCTCTTGGTGGTCTTCCTTTTCATCCTGACGCTCACCCGCGGGAGGGTGATGCCCTGTTGGTGCCGCGCGGGATGGATTGGGGAGGGGCTGCGGTTGTTGCGGGTGAGGCGCTGCCGTGGGTCCGGAGGGCTCTGCCCTGCGCCACCAGTCGTGCGCAACCTGGTTCACGCGCGCACACTCTCTCACACGCACACACACAGAATCACAAACACTCTCTCTCACACAAACACACACACACGCATACATTTCTTGGCCAGCTCCACTGCAACGCACAACACCCACAACCCCCGAAACAAAACCACCCCTAACCCCCTGTGTTGCAGGCAACGTCGAGGCGCGCAACCTCGCGTGCCGCTACGGCGCCGAGTTTGCCCCCCTGGTGGACCTCAACGCCAGCACAGGGTGGGACTTCATAAACGAGGGGGGCGCCAAGAAGCCAAAGTGGGGCTTCATCTCCACCAAGCCCGGTGGGTGGGCGAGGGGGCGAGTGGGGGGGTGCGTGCTGTCGGCGACCGTTTTGATGGGCTGACGCGGCTTTGGGCGAGAGGGTCCGTGCCTTCGCCCCTGCTGATGCCATTTGATCCTCGTCTGAACATCATAAGGGGGCCTCTGCTGACATCATGGTGATGTCATCTGCAAAACTTTCAAACGGCCGGCCGCTTCTGTAGCCCGGCAGACGTGCAGCAGAGGTGCAGCAGAGGCGTCTCACCGATGGCTCTGCTGCCCTCTTGCCGCCGCGCTTGCAGGCAGCGTCCTGCGCATTCGCATCAACAGCGTGCGGGAGACGGGCCCCAAGGATGCCCGCACCAACGTGATGATCGCATACCTCAAGTCCTACGAGAAGATGGGCTCGGCGATGTTCGAGTGAGGGCCGATGGGAAAGTAGTGGCCCTGGGTCGCGGGGGGTGCCACCTCCCTGGCATGGCAGTCCCCCCGTCGAGCGACGCACGCGCCCCGGCAGTCACGGCGGAGCTTACGCCGGCTGTCACGCCCGCCCGCTTGCCAGCCTCGAGCGGGGCTCAGCGCCTCTGCTAACCCATGCGCCTACCCACGCGCGGCCCCTGCCCCGCCGCGGCCCCGCCCCCGCCCCTGCCGTGCCGCCCTCCCCTCGCAGGTGCGTTTCTGGGTGCGAGTGCGCCCCTGACGGGCCCGTCGACGCCCTGCACGCGCTGCACCAGTCCACCATCTTCCTCGTGCGCCTGCTGGTGACACAGGTGCGCGGGCCTCACAATGCACCTGGGCGCCGTGCCTAGGCGGCTTTCTGAGACCGCGTATTGTCCTCTTTCCGGTCCAGTGCTTGGTTCACATAGAGAGGGCCGGTCGGCTTCAGGGGGCCTGTGTGGATTTGCAGGAGAGGTCCCAGGGCTACGGGCTGCGGCTCATGGTAATGGGCACGAAGCAGCAACCCTTTGGTGCAGCCGGAGGCTCCCCTTGCGGCGGGCCAGGCTCCCGGCGGCAGCGGGGAAAGCAGCGCGCCGTGCGCGCCGCCGCGCCGCCCGCGCCAGTAGCGAGCCGCACCCCGCGCCATCACGCCCGCCACAGTCCCCCGAGTGCAACATCGCGGTCACCCTGCTGGAGCAGACCAACAGCACCAGCCACAAGTTCAAGGTGGGTCAAGGCGGGGATGGGGGCACCAGCCCCCTTTGGACGCCGCTGGGCGGTTGGGGCGCCTGCTGGTGCTGGTTGGCGCACCCCTCGACACCCCTTGACGCAGGCGTCGATGTCGCCCCCACATTGCTGCCACCCGGCCGCCTGTGGCCCCGCTTATTCCTTCACTCCCCTCCCAAAACGCCCCCTCGCCACCCGTTTCGTTGTGGTCTGTGATTCAACCTGGTGATCTCAGATCAGCGGCATCATGATGAACGAGTACACGGGCAGTGACGTCACCACCAAAATCCACGAGGAGAAGTGGCTGGGGGACCTGCAGGCGACGTCCGGCCGCCGCCTGCAGACGGGCCAGCCGCGTACGCGCGGCGCCAGGCGGCAGCAGCAGGGGCACCAGGCGGCGCGGCGGCGGCCGTGGTGGCGGCGGTTGCTGGCGCTGCGGTAGCACACGCCCCCTCTGGTCCGCCCTGCTGCAGGGGAGATCGTTGTCGGTGATCAATTCATACGCTTCTTCCCTTATCTCTGTTTCAATTCATTTGCACTTGGTTTTGGCCTCAAACCACTTCACTCATTCTCGTGCGTGTGAATTACACGGAGGGTCGGGAGCAGGTGCATTGTGTGCTGCTCTCCGCCGCTGCTGCTGCTGCTGCCGCCATCCATCGGAGGCGAAGGGCTTCGGCACAATGCTGTGGACGCAAAAGAACATGCACGGTCCCTGCTCGTGCACAGTTGTGCGCAAGTAACCAGTTTTCCTCGAGCCAAACTCTGCTTATTGTTTGATGGGATGCATATTGATGGAGGGTCAATTTCAAAGCTGGGTTCAGTAAGCGACAGCAATTGCCCTGCCACGCGGGCTGCAGCTGACCCCAATGGAGTGGACCTGAGGCCGGAGGCCGCCAGGTATTGCAGATCTGACTGTTCAGACGGGTGATCTTAGATCTTCTCAGCACGCCCATGCATCGCACCACAGGGTGCGCAGTGGCCATCTGATCACTGTGAGTGGATGCCAGGACAGTGCTGCATTGCAGGTGGCCAGCGGCACATGGCAGCACCCCTGACCACGCTGAAGAAAGGAAATCACGGCCAGAGCCGCCACTCCGCCCCGCAAATCAGCGCGGGCGGCGCAAGGCAGGCGCCGCCGTGCGCGGCGCACCAACCACGAGTGCGGCACAAATCATCAAATGCGCGAATCGGAAGGAATCAACACTGCGCCCCGCTGGCCGCCGCGGCCGTAACGGACACAGGCCCGTTTGCCGCCACACTTGCAGAGGCCTTCCTCTCGGACCTGGCCTGGACGGCCTCCTTCAACGCCTGATTCCTCTTCTTCTTTTTTGCGACAATGAATGCCGCCACGCCAGATATGACGGCGATAGCGCCCAGCACGCCGCCGACCGCGCCGCCGATAACCGCGCCCTTGCCGCTGCCCGTGCTGGGTGCGGCGCCGTCCTCCACCTTGAAGGTCTGTCGAGGGGTTTTGTAGTGGGGGGTTGGGCAAGTCGGTTCATCAGTTGACTCAACTGGATGGGAGACGCAGCAAAACATCGCCTGTCCCGCAGCCCCACGGGCCAGGCGGCAATACGGCACAGCCGCCTGCTCAGCAAGCACCTGCCTGAACGCAGACACGCCGCAAACAGGCGGTCAAACTTCGGTCAACCTTCCCAGCGGCCTCACCGACTTGACGCTGCGCGCGTAGCTGGCCTTGGCGGCGGCCCAGGAGCTGTAGTCCAGCTCGCACATCTCCTTCAAATCGGCCGGGCAGTACTCCGCTACCGACGCATTGCGGACCCATGCGCAGGTGGCGTTCACGAGGAGGCTGTTCAGATCATCCATCCCAAAGTGCATCGTCTTTTTGGGGACGTCCTGGATGCTCTTGTTGTCCCACTCTCCAAAGGGGATGAGCTGGAGATCAAAAGCGGTGCGCTGGGTCAGGTAGACGAGGCTGTCGGCGATCGCGCTGCAGTCAAATGATTGGTTGGGGGCAAGGGGCCGGAAGAAGTGTGAGAAGCTGTGCGTGAGGGTGGAGGCGAGTGTGTCACGCCGCGGTTTGCAAACCCATCACATGTGTGTCATCCATGTGCCGGATGCAGGCAGCACATGGCAAAATGGAGGCCTTGAGATTGCTCACGCGTGGCCGGCGTCAAAGGGCGTGGAGCCATCGGTCTGGTTGACGGCGTCCGTCTTCATCAGCCCCTCAGGCGTCAGCTGGCCTGTTGGCCACAGCGCGTTGCGCATGGAAACGTAGGGCAGGTTGTAGTAGCCGCTGACCGCGGCGTACTGGGGGCTCTCAGGGGTGAGGTAGAAGGGGCGCGTGGCGTTGCCCATGCCTGGCGGCATGGTCTGGGCGGGTTGGGGGCGGGGTCAGAGCAGGGGTGGAATGAGGAAAAAGGGGCTGAAGAAAGCCGTGCCTGCAAGCCTGGTTTGAGGGCTCTGGTGAGGGTTCAGGACGGAGTGGCAGGGCTGCAAACTGGCAGTAGCGTGATCATTCGGTCCCTGCGGGCCCGACGCAAGCACAAACGCCACCCTCGGCGACGCCTCGCCTCGAGTCCCGGTCACGGCAATGGAGAGTCCCGGCGGCCGCCGCGCCCCCTGCCCCGCGCCCACCTGCGTAAGCACCAGCGCTGGCTTCCTCGCGCCCCCGAGGATCTTCCGCACCAGGATCTCGTACGCCTTGGGCTGCCGCGCGGACACGACGCTGGTGTCCATGACGGCGCCATCGTTGGCGGTCATCTCCAGAAGCACAAGATCTGCATCGGCCGGAACATACTTGTCAAAGCAGCCCGCGACGACGGCGGACGGTGCGAGGCCCGCAGACGCGCGCACAAACTTGATGGGGGCCGCCGGGAAGGCGCGGGAGAGGAATGCGACGTAGAGAGAGAGGTAGTCGCTGCGGCCGCGCCCGGCCGCGTCGGAGCCGTTGGTCGCGGCGCCGCCGACGGCGACGATTTTGGCGGGGCGGCCGGCGGCGAGGTCGGCCACAACGCGGCGGAGGCGCGCATTGCCGCCGGTGTACACGTTTGAGGACTGGACGGCGGCCAGGGGCGTGGAGTAGGTGTGGGACAGGACTGCAAGCATCGCGGGCGACATCTGGTCGGGCCCAATTGAAATTGCGGCGGTCTGCTGCAGGTGCTCCCGCCAGGCGCCGACGTCGGCCTGGCTCATCGCCGCGTCGGCGACGAGCGCGCCGCAGGCCGCGGCGAGGAGCGCGGCGAGGAGTGCGTGCGCCGCGGCGTGGCGGCGGCCGCGCCAGAGCATCGCTCCAGCCTTCATCTCCGCCTGACGCGGGTCGCTCGCTGCTTGCTGGCGAGCCGGTGGCGCTGCGGGGTGTGTATGATGGGTGTATCAAACGCCTGCGCTTACGACGTCTGCTGCCACGCGTGAACTGGCGACTTGCCCTGGCAGCGTGCGCGCGTGCTTGCTCTCCCTGCTAGCTACCAGGGAGTACGTGTGCGTATGGGCGCAGCGCACCGCGGCTGCTGCCACGCCAACCGACGCTTTTGAATAATCACTTCAAGTTTCTTCACGGCTGAGATTGTCCAGCTCCTCACCCACTGCGTCCTTGGGCTGCCGGATCCCAGAAAGTGGCGTCAGGGGAGGAGCGTCAGGTGGCAGAAGGCGAGGCAACTGTGAATTAAACAGACTTATTTACGCATTTACGCCCAGTAATGATGTCATGGAGCAGCTTCGGACGGCAAGAACAGCGTTTGCAACAACTCAAAACTTCCGCTGGCGAACGCAGGCCTGTGTTTGGCACCCTGTGTTGCATGACATATTGTCATATGGTATTATCGCTTCTTTCATCAAACATCGCAAAATATCTTACCGACCATCCTAGTGGCATCACCCCATCGTGGGGTGCGGGCTCAAGTTTGCAGGCCGCGCTCGCCTGTATGGTGTCTCACAGCCATAAGCAACGTTATAACTAGTATAAAAATTACAATATTGTGACGTCCAGAGTCGCGAAGTGGGCCCAACCAGTCGGAAACCGCGACAGGCAGCGGGCGGCGCCGCACGCACACAGACGCACATCACTCCGGCCAACATGCGGTGTGCCACGGCCCTTGCGCTCTTAGCATGGGGCCTCTTGACACTGTTTGCGGCAGCCGGAGATGCGGCGGAGGCGCCCGAGTGGGCGGTGTACCGCAAAAACCTGAAGGCCATGCGCGTCGGCAAGGGAACCGTGGGCGACGCGCTGGGCGCATTCCTTGACCACGAGTTCGACCTGCCTCTGGAGTTCTTGCGCCGTGCACAGGTGTGCAGGCGCTCTCACGTCAGGTTCGAAAAATCATGGCGCTGCTTGGTGCTGCATGGTTGAAGGCGTGCGCACATGCAGTGGTGGGCAGCTGCCAGTGGAGCTGTGGCCAAAGCATGCGCTCGACGTCCGTATGCAGCTGCCAGCGATTGGTTGAGTGCCGCACCCAAGGAAGGGTCGCGCACACAGGGTGTCCAAGCTCCACCAGCCAGTTTCATCCGCGCCGCTGCCCCCGCCGCCGCCCGTTCACTGCTCACAACATGACTCATCCATCCACCCTCCCCCCCTTCCCAACACCAGTCCTACTCTGGCCCCCGCACCCGCCTCCGCCGCGTGGTCGCGGACATGATCGCCGGCAAGCCAGTCGAGATCAACATCCTCGGCGGCTCCGTCTCCGCCGGCGCTGTCGCAACCCGCAAGATGGACCCGGTCAACCCCAACGACGTCTGGAGCCTCGTGCGCCTGCAGCTGCAGACCCGCCTGTCCCCGAAGGTCCAGTTTTACAACAACGCGCGGTCGGCCACCAAGTCGCTGATCTTCTCGATGTGCCTGCCGCGCTGGCTGAACGCGACCGCCGACCTGGTGTTTGTCGAGTTCATTGCCAACGACGGCAGCGAGATGGACACCTCGCTGGACGGGCCGCTGGACAAGGCGCGGTCCTACGAGAGGTTCCTGCGGAAGATCCAGCAGCAGCCATCCAACCCAGCCGTCGTCATGATGCAGGCGCGCAACTGTGGGCTGTCAATTCTCAAGATTTCTCCAGGATTGTGTTTGAAGGACTTGATAGTTTGGGGCAAGGTTTTGAGGCTTGAACCCTGGATCCTGTGCAGCGATGACACCAAGACAGGGGCTAGCTGCAACATGCCCCACCGCTTCATAAACTTGACCCCAGCAGGGGTAACACAGATAGCCAGCCAGCTGTGGACCCCAGAGCGACGCCCCGACCCTGCAACTGCGAACGCATCCCCCGCAGATGCTGGTGAGCGAGATGGCCTACCCGCCAGGCGGCCGCGACGGCAAGGCCAAGCGCGCGTTCTTCTCCACCCCCGAGGACAACTACGGCAACCTGGCGCAGTACTACGACATCCCCACCATCTCATTCAGGTGCTTATCTCAGTGCCAACGCAATCGGCGTCAGCCGTTTGGGGTCCTGGACTGCAGGTGCTCCGCTTTTGTGCAGCTCAGAATCGCAATCTTGAGAACACCAGACAGCTCCCCACCCGCCCTTCCCCCAAGAAGATTCTGCTACAACTTTCGTGCCGCAGGGACGCCCTCTGGCAGCTGGGCGACAACGGCCGCGACGGCATGTCGTGGGACGACTTCATGGGACCGGACCGGCTGCACCCCAACGACAGGGGCCACCGGCTGATGGCCGACATGGTGATCTACCTGATGCAGCAGACAGCGGTCGACCTGCTGGTGCACCCGCTCTCGCATGCCGAGGTTGCCGCCTCCGCAGCGCCGCTGCCGCCGCCCATGTTTGCGGGTGAGCGTGTGGAAACGCAGCGGCTGCAGGCGTCCGGCCGTGAGGAATGCCGGGCAGGGTAGGGCCCCATTCCCACCTTCGGGCGCCGCCACCAATGCTGACACTGGAGAAAGCCGCTTGCTGCCTCACTGATGTGAAATCCTCACGCATCTGCTCCATTGACCTTGCATGCACTCTTCAAATCTGCGCTGGCGATCAGTATCTCTGGGCCTCACAATTCAACCCATGATACCAAGCACGATGTTACTCACCTTGCCCCCGCTCTCAACCGCCACACATCAACACCGCCAATTCCTGATGACACTCCCTGATACCCAGGCAACGACGCGAGCCTCAACCAGATATGCGCCCAGGGCAAGAACATGAGCCGCCACGTCGTCGCCTCCGCCGGGTGGGAGGTGACCCCCTACTCGGAAGGCACCAAGTACCCCACATTCGGCTACGAGACCACCACGCCCGCCGCGCCGCTCGTGATCGAGGCGTCCACCGTTGGCGACGCGCCCGGGCGACCGGCAAGCGTCATGCTGACGTACACCAAGGCCAAGGCGGGCTTTGGGAACGCCAAAGTCACGTGAGCATGGGCGGGCTTGGGGCGCTGTTGACGGTTGAGGGCGCACGCGTGAGGGCGATAGAGGATTGCATGCGAGACGCCGCTAGTGCTTCCGTCATTCTGGCGTCCACGGCGTGTCTTTGCTCCGCTAGTGGGCGGAGGTCAAGGCCAACCCTCACCGTGCTGACTCCCCCCGTGCCCATTGGCGCCTCCTGCAGCTGCTCCAACGGGTGCACCTGCGACCCCGTCACCCTGGAGGGCTCCGTGACCTACGACCAGACGGTCGTGTTTGTGGAGATGGTCCACCCCACTGCGGCGCCCGCGTGCCGCGTCAGCGTCGAGATGGACCCCGCGAGCGCCCCGGGCTCCAAGTTCCGTGTCTCGGGGGTGGTGATCACCGGGGACCCCGGCCACGTGTCGGGCCGCATTGGAGAGGTACGCAATGTGAAGCCGCATGTGCAGCGTTAGCTTGTGTGTGGTGCCCATGCGCATGGATAATGACCGCTGTGGTCGGGCCTGAGTGCTGAGTTGTCTGATTATTTTGGATTACGTGTCGCTCACATCTGACGACAGCAACCACTCATTAACATTTTTTTGTCACCCTGTTCAAAATCCTTCCCCACCTTCTTCCCATCCCCGGCGCACAGGAAAAATACATGTCGTGGCTCTCCGGCGACGCCTGGGTTGCCTAGTTTGACTCACTTTCTTCTTTATTGCCAAAGGCTTTCAAGGCTGTCTCGGACCTGCGGACCAATCACTCGTGCTAGCCAGGACAGGGAGATGTCGAAGCAGCCAGGCCATTTGCCGGCCATGAGCTGTGGGCTGTGCAGTGGCTTCTCTGCTGCCTTGCAGCGATGGGAGCCTGGAAGGGGCTGTAGTCGCCTTGCTTCGTACGCAAGCAGACGTGTGGTTTGCACTGGACTGTCCCTCAAAATTGTGGCAGAATTTCTCATTGAAGCAGCCATGTGTGCACCTCTGCTGTGCCCATTGCCATTGCTTGCGCCTTGTGATACTGCGCTGTTCTGGCTTGCATCGCCCCTGAATTGGTCAAATGGGTGGCAACACCCAAACGGCCCCACATGCATACCTTGAACTCCCTATCACCTTCATGACATAGCTTTCATGCAGGAATATGTGGTGACCAATTCACTTATGCATAGATTTTCTGGGCTTTGGGGGCCGCAGGGCCTTGCGAAAGAATTTTGGTGATGGCTTGCATGCTGCGCATGCTGGCTGGGACGGTGGTGACGCATAGTATGCAGCTAGTATGATGCAGCCCGGATGCAAACAGACGTGATCCGCGAGTGCATTCGACCCCCTCATTGACTATCAGCTCATATATCGGCCTGAAGCCGGATGCGGGCCCATATGATCTCGACGAGGAGCCGCCCAGCGGCGGTACCTTTCTCTCGCGGATACCATGTCGGGCATGCCGGACCTATCATTGTAGGCTCGCGGCTTCGCAGGTGAGTAGCTCTGACACTGAAGACCCGCGAAACAGTCTATCGCCTGCCTTTCTGAAAGGACTCGCATTAAACTATCAGGTCGATCGGCCTGTGCTTTGCGGATACTGCGGAACCGGCATCGCCGACCGCGAACGCCGCGCCGTCCCCCGCGCCTGCGCCGGCGGCCGCGGCCGCGCCTGTGACGGCGCTCGCCGCAGCCCCTGCCGCCGCCCCGGCTTCTGCGGGGCCGCCCGCCGCTGTCGTCCGGGTCTCTAAGAACAGCCGTTTCAAGAACCTGGCAGGCTATCTAGTGGCTGTCTTGAATGAGCGGCCCGATGATCAGGTCCTCATAATTGCGTCAGGCGCGCTGGTGAGACTGCTGGCTGGCATGCAAGTCTTGCCTTTGGGATGTTCATCCTTTTTGGGCCTTCTCTACAGCTGGCACAGAATGTATCAGTGCTACACAATTCCCTTATGTTGGCAACAACGCCCTGTCATCAACATCCCACAGGCGTGCTTCCATGCCAGCAGGGCGCTGGCTTGCGCGCGCGCCACCCTGATGGCAACGCGCCGTGTCGGACTGCAGTTCCAGCCTGAAAGGAAGTTCAGCGTCGTCTTGCTGGACAAAGATCAGCCGTCGCGGCAGCTGGACGAGCACGGGGAGCACCAGCAGCAGCAGCACCAGCCGCAGCAGCAGCTGCAGCAGCAGCAGCAGTGGCAGGAGGAAGAGGAGGAGGAGGAGGAGGAGGCTGCAGGCAGCGACAGCGGCAGTCTCAGCAGGGCTGCGGACGCCGAGCATGAGGGGCGCCGTTCTCGGGTGCAGCAGGAGGGGCGCAGCCGATTTCCTATCATGCAGTTGTGGACTAGGGTGGCAGCCGTCGACCCTTCCGAGACGGACGCGGTGCGCAGTGCTCGGCCGCCGAAGGTCGTGCGCGTTGGCAAGGCCACCCAGGCCGCTGCCCTCGCCTCGACCATCGAGCGCTTCGTTAGCGACGGCACGCCGGTGACGGTGTCCTGCGTGCAGTCTGCGGCTGTGTACGTGGCGCTGAACGCGCTCTCGCTGGCGCGGCTGTCGCTGGTCATGAGCGAGGGTAAGGACCTCACTTTGACGGCAGAGCTGAGACAGATAGAGTGGCAACGGACGGCGGCTCAGGCAGAGACCAGCAGCGGCAGCGGCGAGGGCGTGGGCGGGGCGGCGGGTGCGGCTGAGCGCCCAGAGGTGAGGGCTGGTTGGGGGGAGGGCGGGCAGGCTGGCGGGTATGATGCTTGGGGCATCGGCCGTTGGTAGGGCTCGTGGCACTGGTCTTGCAGTGCAGGTCTGTCGCCGATGAGTCGTGCTGCACGACCGTGAAGCCGCCTGCAGGAATACGCCCTCGCGTATGCATACAATCGGGCCGCCGACGATGCTGGGCAACCGACTCACCCATCACAACAGGTGCAGGTGGTGGACTTCAACGTCGTTCCCTGCGACCCGCGCCCTGGCGTCGCCGACGCCCTTCGCCGGCGCATCTACACGAACGAAGGGCGTGCGGCGGACATCGGAGATCGCAGCACCAGCCGCCGTGACCGCGATGGCGGCCGAGGCGGTGGCCGCGGCCGTGGCCGAGGCGTTGGCCGCGGCCGTGGCCGCAGCGGCCGCGGCGGCAGCGGGGAGGCCACAGGCGGCGACACCACGGTGACTGTGTCGCGGCAGGAGTGGGACGGCGTGAAGCAGCAGCTGGGGCACATGGCTCAGTGGACCGAGCAGCTGCTTGAGCTGCTGGCGCAGCAGAACGAGCAGCCGGGGGTGGTTGGAGGGGAGGGGACCGCGCCAAAGGGGACGTGAGGACCGCCAGGGAGGACGCCCTGCAAGGCTGTTGATGGCGCTCGTGCGGCACCAGTCACTTTAGCTCAGCGTCACATCTCAATGTAACAGTATCGTGTGTACAACGCTAATCTGTTTCACCGTCACTGCTGGCCAACCTTGGGAGGCGAGGTTCCGTTGTCTTGTCCTCCAGGTATCCCGAGGCGGTGCTGCCAAGTCAATGGCTGCATGCTCAGGCTGGCCTACAAGCAACAGCTGTCACACACGCAGCGTTCAATTTGTCGCTGCCTTGACTTGCTAGTGCACGCCTCACAACCACACCAGAAACGTTGCGGGGGCAGTGACTGCTCGTGCTGACCAGCAGCAGGTGGGCAGCGGCGACACAGCTGCATAGGTCAAACAACAACTCTTGCCAGCCAGCCAGAAAATCAAGGTGAACATCAATCTCATACCTCGACGGTGCTCTTGTTCTTCTGCGCGATCTGACACAGCACCGGAGTGCAGCCTCTGCAAGACCTGTTGCCTGGCGCGGTGCGCGACTGATAATTCAGTAAGGAGGTTCACAAATCTATCATAGCGACGTCTGCACTACCTTGCTGCAGCAAACGCGCGTCGGCTGCCGCGTCCTGCTGTGGGCGCCTCAGCTCGAGCTGCCCGTGCTGCAACCTCTCCTGTAGCGGCGACGCGCCCTAGTGCACTGGCTGCTGTAGTTTGAACCACACGGGGGACAGCAGTAGCGGCAGGAGCAGCAGCCCACCCCACGCCCTCGTCAGCCGGTAATTCCTCAGCACCGGCTGCGCGCAAAATGGCGACGACGCTTGTCGCCGTCGGCGGCAAGGGCTCCAATCCCAAGACCACCCTTTATGTTGGTGGCCTGGAAGAGTCGGTCAACGAGGCGACGCTCCATGCAGCGTTCATCCCTTTTGGTGATCTGAAGGATGTGAACATCCCCATGGACAACGAGCTCGGCAAGCACCGAGGCTTTGGGTTCGTAGAATTTGAAGACAAGGACGACGCTGCGGCTGCTATCGACAACATGCACAACAGCGAGCTATTCGGCCGCGTGCTGAGGGTCAACTTTGCGCAGCCGGCGAAGATCAAGGGCGGCGACAAGGGGTGGAGCCATCAGCCTGTGTGGGCGGACGCCGACAAGTACATAGAGGAGCTGGCAGCAGAGCAGGAGCTGGAGGCGATCGACAGGGAGCAGGTGCGGCGCGGCGTGAGTTCGCGTGGGCTGCAGGAGGAGATGGCCGCACGGAGCAGCGGCTCGAAACCTTGCAGCACAGCTGTGGCCCGTGCCTGTAGCAGGGGTGCACAAGGGGCGTCCTGGGTTTGCTGTTTTGCCACGGCTGTCCAGAGCCACAGCGCCTTGTACCTTTCCAGCACGCCGCATGCTGCACGCCAATGCCTTCATGACGTTTGCTGACATGCTCCTGCGGCTCCTCCTTCGTGCTCATTCGACCCCCCACAGAAAAAGAAGCGGCAGCTGGACACTTTGAAGCCCGCCGGTGGCGCTGGCGGTGACGGCGGTGGCCAGGAGGGCGGCGCAGACCCCATGGAGGCCCTAGAGGCAGCAGCCGCTGGCGGCACATAGCGGCAGCCGCGGCTGCGCCGGTTCCACATAGAAGCATCGGGCAGACTCCTGCCGCGGCTGCTGTAGCAGCTGCGAGACCGCTCGCGCAGTAGGGCTGCACTCGGAGCACCATGAGGCAACACTGCTGCATGTTGTATTTGCCGTCATGCAGGTGTGAAAATAGGGGCATGTACCACTGGTGTAATTCTAGGGCGCCTGCCAGTTGAGGAGCCTTCTTCACCGTCTCTCGCCCTGGGAGGGGGGGCTGAGTGAAAGACCTCTGGATGATGGCGGCTGCTGTACCCTGCTCAGCAGGGCCAGCCATCGAACGGTTCAAGGACAGAAGCATCAAGTCTTGCTTCCGCAACAACTACTGCACAGCCGCATGCGAGGCAAGCTTGCACGCACAACGTTTCTGGAGCGCAAGGGACAACGGGTGCCACCACCTTGGCTGCAGCAGCATTTGCATCCTGTTGAGACGACGTAACCGCACCTGGGGGCGCTCACCATCTCGCAAGCAACAAAGGGAGCCATGTGCGCACTGCCTAGAGGATGGGGGCGCAGTGATGAAGTACTGCTCCATGCAATCCACCCGGGCGCCCTCCTTTGCCATGGCAGCTGCCGCGTTTCTGCGGTCCGATCTCATCGCAGAGACATGCGATGCTGATGCTGGAGTACAAAAGTAAGATTTGATCAAATATCAGCTCCGTAGTAGCTGACACGAAACGTAATTTGGTCACCGCGTGTGCTTGCTTGTGCTCACTCTTGGCTTTTCTGGTTTGACCAGCGCCCAGCAGCCAGGGACCAGCCAACATCAGCTTTGACTGCGAGCAGTATACTTTGCTGCCCGTTGTATGGCCGTGAATGAGCGGGCGCGCGGAGCTGCATCAGCAGGTCAGAGAAACACCGCACAAACGGCAGGACGGGGTACCTTGTAGGACCCTCCGGTTTGTTTGTAATGTCTTTGATAACAGAAAGCGCGTCTTAAAGGGCCCTGCGCGCTGCAACCGGACGATCTGCAGGGGCCAGAGGCAATGGGAGCCGCGTATAGCACCAAGCCGATGTCTAACATCAGCCAGGGCCAGGTAAGAACCTCGATTCTGGGCGATGAGGCCGCTTGACCCCGCCTGTGCCACAGCCGCTTGTCCCCGCTGCAGCCATCCCGTACTGCATGCGGCGCACGGCCGCTGACCGTTCGCCCGACTGCGACCTGGTGCTTTTTGCAGTTCTCGTCAGATAACCCAGATGACCTTTACCTAGCCAACTCATACCAGCAGCGTATGGTGGGGCAGCTGCCCAACGGGGCGCGCCTGCCAGGTGCGGCACGCAAGATGGTGCCGATTGGGCAGCAGCAGCCCGCGCTGCCGGCGCAACTCCTGGACACTGGCGCCGGCCCGCTGGATCACACGGGATCCATGTCAAAGGCTGCTGCGCGCGCGGGTAAGCAGCAAATCCCTGCGCTTGGTGCCGGTGCCAACCGCAGCGAGGGCTACATGGGGCCGACAGCTGGCCTCGGCCTCGATCAGTCCTTCACAGCAAGAGCCGCGCCCCTGGCAGGCCCCGGCAGCCTGTCACACGCGGCGCAGCAGCAGCATCATGGCGGCGCCGCAACGGCGCGTGCAGCCGGCCAGGCAGCGGTGCAGCAGCAGCAGCAGCAGCAGCAGCAGCAACCGGTTGAGGCCGCAGTGACCTCACAGCAGCAGCAGCAGCAGCAGCAGCAGCAGCAGCAGCAGCAGCAGCAGCAGCAGCAGCAGCAGCAGGCAGCAGCAGCGGCCACCCAGCAGCAGCAACACCACCAACGGACGCAGTCCCAGTCCAGCGTAGTGGAGACGGGGCCGATTACGCCGGCCCAGGCGCTGAAGCGGTACAGTGAGTACCTCACGCCCTTTGAGCAGAGCGAGGTGCTGCAGTACCAGCAGGTGGGTGCACGCAGATGGCATGGGCATGGCCATGGAATGGGCATGGGCATGAATGAATTCACCTGTGGGGACGGGCCTCTCATGTTGGCATCGTCCACAGCATGTTGGTGCCAAGCCAGCTGTGAATGCTTCGCTGTCACATGCGCATGCATTGGCACGTGACGGATGTCAGGCATGGCAGCAGGGCATACACACTGCAGAGGGCTTCACAGCACCACCGACTGCTCTTACGCCAGCGCCATGGTCATGCCCGATTGTTGGTCTCAGCCGCTGCAGCTGCGGTGGCTGTTCAGGCCAACCGTTGGGTTGAGCGTCGCACAATTGCCAGCGAGACGCCCCCCACCCACCCAAATCTGCGTTCCAAACCCTCCCAAACCGCCAGGTGTGGTTCCTTGGCAAGGCCGACGTCCAGAAGATCCGCGGCAACCCCCACCTGGCCAAGACCAACTACGGATACGACGATGAGCGCGGGGACTACATACTCACGACGCACGACCACGTCGGCTACCGGTAAGCCTCAATGCCGCCGCCGCCCCATCCGGAGCGCCTCTGCACATGGAGGCACTCATGCTCGGCACTTGCATATGTGCGCCGCCTTTGCAGCATTCGCAACCCAATTCAGGGTTGGTACTGTGCTCGGCACCGGCAGCCCTCGGTCAGCGGCCCCTGATCCCTGTGACCCGCCTCAACGACCGCCTCGGCCCCTTGTCCCAGGTACGAGGTCCTGGGTGTGCTGGGCAAGGGGTCGTTTGGCCAGGTGCTCAAGGTCCTGGACTACAAGACCGGCGCGTACCGCGCCCTCAAAATAATCCGCAACAAGAAGCGGTTCCACCACCAGGCCCAGGTGCGTCGCGCGGCCCGGCCGGGACGCAGCCTCCGACGAAGCGCAGCCACACGTGGTCAAGCAACCACCTGTTCGCACCATCACCTGGGCCACGCTGCCAACCAACATGGTTGACCCTCTGCATCTGCAGGTTGAGCTGAAGGTTCTGGAGCACCTGCGGTCCCACGACCCCGAGGACGCCCACAACGTGATCCACCTGTGCGACCACTTCATGTTCAGGAGCCACCTGTGCATCACGTTTGAGATGCTCAGCATCAACCTGTGAGAGCCCCCGCCCCCTGCCAGCGGGCCGACCTAACCCCTCCCCCTCGGCTGCCGCCGGTGCCCCGCACGAGTCTCGGCGTCCGCGCGTGCCTCCCCTCCCCTTCTTAACGGCCTGGTCAGGCTGCTCCGCCGCTGCACCGCCGCAATCGCTGCAATCCCACTGCCTGGCACCCCCC